GATTTTTTTTTAATTTTTAGCTTTTTTTTTTAATTTTAAACCAAAATTTTTTCGACTTTTTTAATTTTATTAAAATTAAGTATTACCTTCTTCCATTTTCAGTGAGTTAAGATATTACAGTGAATAAAATAAATCCTCCGTAAAATGTGTTGCATTGCCTGAGCTTGGATTTCGCATATTCGCTTCTTTGAGCAAACACATCTGAACCGGTTTAATGATGTCCCTAGAAATTATTTCTGTGATGGAACATAGTACTCGCTTCGTTTATGTGGCGCTGGCAATTGGTAAGTGAAATTGTTTCCTTTTTTATTGTTATACACAAATTTGTAATATTAAATAGAAATCTTTGAAGCGATATCCCCTCCAACATTCTGACACGTCAAACGTCAATTAGTGAATTGAAGTACATTTACATAGATTTCTGTCCGCTTCTCTGCTTTAAAGGAAGCCGAAAGAATTTTTATTCGTGCTTTGATGCTTTCACAGTTAATTTTTAAATACTTGAGTTGCTTGAGTTGTACAAGAGCTGCGTTTTTATGGGTGTGTGTTTGTCTCCTGTTTCAATAAGCGGACTTTCCTACTTGTTTGCGGTAAATTGCTGTTTAAAAATGTAATTAAAATGTTATTAAACATGTCGAATAACGGTAAATTGTTTTCAGTATTAGTTGCAAGCATTGGGGAATGCTTTTTGACATAGACATATACGTGTGCCTGCGTCAGTTTGTATGTATTTTTTCTAGCTTTTCCATTAACATTTTAATTAGATTTTTGGGTTGAGTTTTTATTGTGCGCTTCTATTTTAATCCCTTTTAGAATGACATTTAATATAATAGACGCCCACAGTCGGCTGCATAAATTATTCCTTTTTTTTTCGGCCACGGCATTTTCATTAAGTTTCGCACAATGCAATTTCACCTGAAATACATCGTACATACATTGTATTTTGTGTGGGGACTAGGTTTATGCTGCCGTATTAACTAGAAAAGCTTACTAAAATACCGTTACTCTTTGAAATAATAGTTAACATCTATATACATACACGAACTATTGTTTCAACTTTGTTTAACCAAGTAGTCGGACACGCTGTGATTTTGTGGTGTTTGTGTTTGTAAAAACACCGCTTTTCTTTCTGAGCATTACAGCTACCATTGTTTGCTTCCTTGCAAAATCCAGTGAAAATACTCGAAAAGTGCAATTAATATATTTCGAAATTCAGGTATATGCAAATGTACGACGAGTTCTAATTGAAAATAAATACCATAAATTCCGTTTATTTTGTTAATTTGAACTTCATGGCCACCTGCTCTTCAACTAGTTGAACTTAACCCAACGATCGGTTTCAACGAAGCCACGACTGCCGTTGCTACACTCTGCCAAAAGTTTAATGAAGAGTGACACTTTGTTTGAAGATGTGTGTGTTTACGTTTGGTGGCAGCTGACAGGCAGGCCGCAGGTAACTGACATTGTCTGCTGTTATCAAATCGCAAATTCAAGCTTACGTTTGGCGCTTGGTGGTTGGCACATTACAAGTACTTTTTAAGCCAACGGAAGTAATACTACCTCTCTGGCTTTCTTTTGTGAGTTGGCCTTGAGTCAACAAGTTGTTACTTCAGCGGTGACTTACATAAGCAATTGAAGTTGGCGCTCTTCTCCTCATACCAATGAAATTCCCGTTTTGTTGCATACTTTTAGGCACCGTAACTTATTTTCTAACTATTTTAGTGAATTTCCTGGTCAGGTTAAAAATTTTCGATCCTGTTTTGTAAAGACCAAGTGTAGATTGCTCAAAGTTAGCTGCTTTAACCCTAAATGCATGATACATATTAAAATTTAGTTTTGAAGTATGCTTTTATGAAGTCGTTTTTGAAGTATATGAGTGCATCGATAAATCAATGGGTGTAAATGATTAGAAAAAACATGAACTTCGCGTGAAAAAATTCAGTTGGATAACTTTAAAACTGAAGGACTAGAACGCGTATTTTCGGACAGACAAACAGATAGGCGGTCTCACGCACGAGCGCACATTGTTTTATCGAATCAGCTTGTCATCCTGATCAATTATATATATATATTTTCGAAGCTATCCGGTGTTTCCTGCCTTGTTACAAACAAAGAACAATGTTTTCGTGCTCCTAAATGTATGCTACAGATTCAAAGTTCATTAATTGTAAATTATTATACCCTGAACAGGATATATTAATTTTGTCACGAAGTTTGTAACACCCAGAAGAAAGCGTCGGAGACCCTATAAAGTATATATATAAATGATCAGTATGTTGAGCTGATTCGATTTAGCCATGTCCGTCTGTCCGTCTGTCTGTATATATACGAACTAGTCCCTCAGTTTTTAAGATACCGTTTTGAAATGTTGCAAACACCATTTTCTCTTCAAGAAGCTACTCATTTGTCGGAACTGCCGATATCGGACCACTATAACATATAGCTGCCATATAAACTGAACGATCGGAATCAAGTTCTTGTATGGAAAACTTTCACATTTGACAAGATATATTCACGAAATTTGGTAAAGATAATTTCCTGAGCCAACAATCTAACCTCCGCAGAAATTGTTCAAATCGGTTAACTATAGCATATAGCTGCCATACAAACTGAACAATCGGAATCAAGGTCAAACTTTCACATTTGACGTGGTATCTTCACGAAATTTGACATGGATTACTGATTAAGGTAATAATATAATCTGCGAAGAAAATTTTCAAATCGGTAGCTTCCATACAAACTGCACACATAATTACTAACAGAAATGCACCTATGAAGGGTGTTTAGCTTCGGTGCAACTGAAGTTAACGTTTTTTCTTGTTTTGAATGTGAGTTGGAGTTAAAATTGTTTATTTATTTAAATTTTAAACATAATTTATTATTTATTTCTTTTTTTTTTTTGTTCCTTCTGTCGTGGCCGCGGAAAATACAAGTGTAAATTGCACACCACCTTTTTTGTTTGCTTTTCTTCTTAACGAAATAAGTAATTTATGACTTCATTTCCTTTCCAATACATAATTTATTTATTATTATTTTTTTTTTGGACTTACTCAACGAGTGCAATGTAAGCCTGCGAAAATCCAATGCGAAATTTATGGACTGCGAATAATTCGCATATTTTCGCATTACGATGCGCTTCGAGAATCGATTAATATAAATTTAATGAGCCGACGGAGCGCGGAGGAGGGCAGCTGGGGAATTGATGTGCGCGAAATGTCCAAAAGCAAAAACAAAAACCAAAGTCAGGAAAATGTTAAGCACAAAAAGATTTTTTTTTCATAAAATATAATTCACAACTTCTTTATAATTGTCTAAAAATATATATTTTATTACTGACCGATAAGAAAATGAAGCAATCACGCGCACGAACACACGTGCACGAGTAATACGGACAGTTATTTTGTATATTTCAAGCTTTTTTTAATTTATTTTTTGCTCGGTTCTTAATGACTCTGTGTGTGCCGTGTCGGCCAACTGCCACCGCCGCTGACAGCCGCTGTCAACACTCTTGCTGCAATTGTTGTTTTGACGACAGCAACATGGATGTTTTTGTTTATCACTGTTATTAACGATGAATGAAACAATAACAAAAATAACAGCAACAAATTATTTACAGATCATAAAACGTGATGCACAAGCGCTAGTTTATTTTTGTTTTTGTGGTCGCCAGCGTGGGCGACAGCAGTCGGCAGAGGTTGTGATTACATTACTAATGCCACATACCTCGCGTAGAGGGGCGTTAGGTGGGCGGTTGTTCAAGCAGTAAAATCTACTTCCCCAACGTGTTATTTACACTGGTTAATTCATTTATTGCCGCGCACAATTTTATGCCTTTTCACAAGTTGCTTCCTTTTAAATGTTTGTAAATAGCTAAAAGTGATTAATTTTTTACACATTGCCTTCAATATATTTGCGATCACATGTTACCTTTCCTTGAGCGCAATTGTGACTAAAGACAATGGAAAAATGTAAGCGGGGTCCAACACTGTTTTTTCGTTGAAGCAATTATTTGCATACTTTTGAGAGCACATATTTTGTAAACGGTTTTATGCAATTTTTTTCCAAGTATTCCAAGTTTTTCCCCGTCAGTAGTTTAATTTTTGTTATAATTTAAAATAAGTAAGGAAGCGCTAAGTTCGTTTGTAGCCCAACATAGTGTTAGAAAGAAATTCTTTCTGAATTTCTGTAAGATTCATTACAAATTAACCGACAGATGCGCTATAAAATGCAGCGGAATTGCAAAAATATTTATGTTAGATATATGGGGACTAAGGGAAGTGTTGACCGGATTTCATCCAATTTTGCCATAAGTCATGGTTCCATTTCGTGAATTTTTTGGCGTAAGATAAAAAATTTGTGTGCAAAATTTTATTTTGATAACTTCATTGATGTTTAATTTGTATACTACAAAATAAAATAATCAAATTGAATTCAGAAGGTTATCATATGGCAAGTAGGTGTGGTTGTCACTAGGTTGTTTATCCTATCCATATTTACAGGATCTAATAGGAATGTTCGGATCTCTTCACACACCGAATTTTGTTGAAACCAATGTCCAAGTTTAACAACTACTCCTATAAAGCTCTATGTTGCAATTTAATGCTTGCGGTTAGTTTTTGCACTCTTAGGTGTTCATAACTGTTGTAGAGGTTGTGGGCGTGATTATTAGCTGATTTAATTCATTTTAACATTGTTTGAAGAGATACTAAAGTGACTTCTTCCCAGCAAGTTCGATTGATAAAGCTTTAACGGTTTGAAAGATAAAGTCTGATCCCGCCCATCTGAAAAACCAACAAAACCTCATAGGTGCCAAGGAACATGTGTACCAAGTTTCATCAGAATATGTGATTTCACTTGCTCGCACCGACGGACGGACGAACAGACAATCAGGTGACACAAATTATCGTTAGGTGAAGAAAACTAAACTAAAATAAAATATATCTTGCGTTAGTTTTGAGACACCCTGTATTATACTCTGTAGCAATATATTGCAAAAGTATAAAAATAGAAATATAGGGAAAATATGATGTTATGCTAAGGTGGAGTTGTCGCATAGCTTTGATATCTTGGAATACTTGCCTCATTCTTGGGAAACCTTGCCACTTAAGGCCCTACTAAATGATAGCTTTTTGTTTGTGAGTTTGAAGGGAACCTAGACCTTGCCTACGGATTCTAATGTGTCTTTTTTCCACTCTTCCTCTATATTGGCGAAGTTTCTTTCAAAAATTAAAAATTAAAGATAACTGACTCAGCCGATGGAAAAGATCTCTATACCGATAATTTTTGGTGTAATACTTCATACTGCAATAAGCTAAAGTTCATGAAAATATCAAAAAGAAAAGTTCAAAGCCAAAATTTTTGTACCTCGATTAATTTTGAATAGGACTAGGGTATTTCCATATTAATCTAAGCCTAGCTGACAGTTCACTACAAAGTAAAAATCTGGGTCGGTTAAGTGGAACCAAATTTTCTTGGGAACAAATGTCTCTCAAAGTAGTAAAGCATGAAACAGGGCTATAGATGGAGCCAAATCTTTAAAGATTTAAGTATCGGGTGGTACAGACATGGTAATTTTCTAGTCTTAAAAAGTTATTCAAAAACGAATGGCAATTGTAGAACGTATCAAACTGAAATCAAAGCTTTCAGCGCCCGCTTTATGTGGTTATGATTACATGGACTTTGTTTAAGAATCTGGACCAAATATATTTTACTTTGGCATTGCCAAATTGTGCAGGTTCGTTTCTATATTCAATTTTAATGCCTAGGCTTGGACTGTGTGTGACTGAGACCCTAAGATATTATAACAACTTTTTGGATCCTAAAAACTTTTTCGAACTTTTTCACTGTTTGTTTGATTACGCACAGACTCAAAAAGAGAGAAAAAACAAAAAAAGAGAAAGAATTACACGCTTTATCGTTTTCGATGCAGACCTCGTTGTGTCGCTGTATTAATCAATTAGGCCTGTGTATTTCTATAGTTTACTTTTACTGTTATAGATATGCGCATACATCCTCAATAAGCGCCTTGATGAAAATTTATGCCCATGTCCAACACTCTTCCTACACAGGCAATGGTCTTAATTCATTTTCAAAGGCAACGTGCATCTCAATGCAGAATCAGGTCATTAAAATCTTCGATACTTTTACGAGCTCACCTGCAACGGCATTTATTGCGTACATGTTTATGCCAATTTCCTTTTGTTTTTGTTATTTTTTGTGGGCATAATTGTGTTGTATGTGGCTCGCTGGCCGTATTGTCGAGAAAGTCAATTTTAATGCATAAATAAAGCAAGAGAATTGGACTGGCAAAGGGAGAATGTTGAAATGATAATCAGACGACCAAACACCGTGACCTTCGTCATTTATGGGCCAAACAAGATATTTGCTTCGGAATCGGTAAGGTAAAAAATATAAAAGTAAAGTGTAAAAGCAGCAACAATATAAAAGAGTGCAAAAAATGTAAGCAACGCGCACAGAAATAGTAAAGAACCAACAAAAATAACAAGCGAAATGCAAAAAATATCAGCTACAACAACAAGGCGGGGATTGCTAACGATGCAGGAAAATGTAAACAAAGTGCAGATAACAATAAAAACGTAGCCGTAAAAAAAAAAAAAAAATTGAAATTGGCGAAGTAAACGTCTGCGAGGTATTACAGTGAGAGAAATGTACCTAGGAAGGTGTAAAGAGAGCAGCGCGCAAGAAATGGCGCCAACAACGCGAAACAGGCAAATTGCACATATTTCATGATTATTCGAAGCGGCGAGTGCTGCAGCAATAAAGCAGAAAGCGATAAAAGCCAAAGACTACGGGCGACTCAAGTGCGCGGATGTGCGTGAGCAGCAAATGTGTCTCATTTTTAACAGTGTAGGAAGTACCGAATCCAAGTGTCACGGTTCCGAAAAACTCTGTTTTTCACAGTCAATATTTTTACGACATATGTACATATGTAGTTCGAGTATTCTTGGACTAACTTAAGCAAAAATATTAATAGTCTGCAAAGGTCTGTAAGCTCTGTAGAGTAAAAATTGATGATCCCGATATCGATATAATCACGAAATATTGGAATTCCAAAATATCGAAAACCCGAAGTATCTAAATTCCGAAATATTTTATCTCAAAATCCCGATTTCGATATAATCCCGAAACATTGGAATCCCAAAATATCGAAATACCGAAATACTGGAATCCCAGAATAATGAAATACCGAATTACTGAGATCTTGAAATATCAAAATTCTGAAATATCGAAATCCCGAAAAATTAAAATTCCTAATAATTGAAATCCCGAAATTCCAAAATCCGATTTCGTTATAATCCCGAAATACTGGAATCCCAAAATATTGAAATCTCGTTTTCTGAAATCTTGAAATATCAAAATTCTGAAATATTGAAATTGCGGAAAACCAAATCCCGAAACATCAATATTCCGATTTCGATATAAACCGAAATAAGTCTGTCAATATTATAATGTTTCGGGATTGAATAGGTCATAGAGGAAAAATATAAACATAACACATTGAAACAAAATTATTAAAAACACCGTAGACCGAATAGAAAAGCAATGTGAGCAATAAAAGCCAAACGGAATGACGTTACAGGTGTCGGTTAACATTCAGCGCATAAGCCCCGGCAATATGAGAGGAAGAGTGTCAAATAGAGGCAAATGCAAAACGACAAATAGCGACAACAACCACAAGAATAGACGGTTAGCAAGCAGCCAATGTCCACTGTCTTGTGGCAACAAAGAATTTTCCAAGTGTGTGGCACTCGAAATGTATCGTCAAGCGGGTGAAAGTGCAGCAAACGATTGTGTATCAACCCAGACAGCTACTCTACAACTACAACACACATCAACAATAAATTTTGAAATGTAAAAAGCTTGTGGCCTCAAGCCACCACATCTGAGAAATTCAATTGCTCACGCTCGTTCCTAGGGAGCGAGTGGTGGCTGAGTTCGTAGCGCTCAGTGTCTCATTGTCGTCTGGAACTTGCTTTTGGCCGTGTGCCATGCGTGTGATGGATGCGACGTTTCCATGTGGGTGCGTGGTCACATGACATGGGGGCGCCGACATTTGTCAATGCTGTTTGCTCACAGCGACAAGTTATTGAAACTCGCCGCTGTGTGTGTTGTTGTAGAAAGTGTTTGTAATTGGAATTGATAGTGGGAAGTTGCCCGTTTTTAGTGGCTAACTTTAACTCGATAATCCGGAAAGCTTCCATTATGCGAGTTGGCACAATGAATGGCTGTGCCACATACAATTTTTGGTGAGTCTTGGTTTCCCCGACGGAAATTTTTAGAATGTGTTTTCGTTTGGCTATAATTCTTCTAAATGATATAGAGGTTAGATATATGTCTATTTTTGTTTTAAAAAGGTCCTTGAAGTAATGTGAATAAACAACTGCTCTGCCCAATCTCAATTGTATTATAAATGCAAAAATTATAAAATGAGAACAGTTGATATCACAAATTATTTACGAAAAATATCATAAGTTATATTATAATTGTCCAAATATTATGTAGGCGGTTTTCTAAAATGGGAACAGTTGTGATGAGAATAGTTTTTGTGCCTACGATGTCATCGAAAACCCACTATGCTTTGCTTTTAACAAACCTATTTAAAAATTTTGTTGCAAAAATAGGAATTACAAAGTGAGAACAGTTTATTTGCCAATTTACAAAATATATATGAAATGGGAGGATTTAAAAATTGTTAGATTTATATATTATATTATAAACCGAAAAGTGTGTATACGACAAGATAACAGTTCAACTGAGAACAGTTTTGTGCTGCCTTTTCCAATGGTATTGCCTCATTAACTGTACAAATGATGTGACTACAGTTTTTAAGTACGTTAATTTTATTGGACACTTCAGAAATAGTCTACTTATGAACAGTTTATACAGATACTTGTATATTACATATTTTATATATAGTATCCGTACTTGAAAAACTGTTGAACTGAATGATATTGCAGTTAATATTTAACGAAAGTTATACCCAAGCACCATGCCTCCCTGTACTCTCAACATTAATGCGCCTCTTACACTACAAAAATATATATTAATGATTTTCCAACTCATTTTCTTTCACAGTTTGCTTGCTGCCCACACCCGCCACAACATTCCTACCACTTATGCTGCCCACCACCACAACAACAACAGCAGCAGTGACAGTGAGCACTGGCCTGGCGGCGGCGGCGGCGGCCAATGAGCCAGCCGACACAATTATAGCACCCGATGTAATGGACCAATGTCCAATGGGTTACTTCCATTGCAATATTTCGGCGCAATGCGTGCCGCAGCGGCTGAACTGTGACGACAAGGCGGACTGTGATGATGCCTCGGATGAGTGGAACTGTGTCAATGATGTGGACGCGAAATTTTGGGATCATTTCTTTCGTAAGCAGCCATATGGGCGGCACGACGACGTGCCGGTGGAGACGTGCTGTAAGTGCCGGAGTCTAGCTGTACGATTATGGTTTTATATATGTGTGTGTATTTATGTATGCCTGTGCTTTTTGGAGTGTGTGTGTGTGCCGTTTGCCAAGTGGTATGAGTGACACTTAAATTAACAGTTATTGGCACTAATTGCCTTGCCACATGCAACGCCATTGAGACAATTGGCGCTGGCACTAAGTGATAGTTTGCCACTTAATTGCTTAGCAAAAGTAGTCTCACACTTTTCCCTTTATGTTTTCGGTCATTTATTTTACGGAATTATTGTGGGAAATGTTCTATGCTTTGTTGTTGCCGCAGGTTGATGACGTGCCATTCATAATAGCCTAAATATGGTATATTAAGTTTGCCACAAACTTTATAATATCCAGAAGCATCATGGGCGACGAGCTGAGTCGTTAGAGCCACATCGCTCTGTATATCTGTATACACGCAAATTAGTCTCTCAGATTCTGGGATATCGATCTAAAATTGTGCACCGGTTATTTTCTTCTCAAGATGCTTCTCTTTTATTGTAATCGTCGATATCGGACTGATATAGCTTATAGCTGCCATAGGAACGGGCCGACCAAAAGCAAGCGCTTGTATGGAAAAATTGTTCAATGAGATATCTTCATAAATATGGCATGAATTATTGTCCAAAATAACGATATAAACTCCGAACAAATTGTTGAGATCTCAAAAACATGTGCTGGTATGAAACATTTTTTATTTGACGAGAATCTTCATGCAATTTTGCATAGATTATTGTTCAAGACAATGCAATCCCCAAGAAAACTGTTCAGATCGGGCTACTATAGCATATGACTGCCATAGATATGCTGGTGTTCGATCGAAATCAAAATAAAGATCTTTTTATACCCTTTTATGCTACAACAAATACTTCTGTTAACCATATTATGGTCTCGATGCAGTTGAAAATTACGTTTTTTCTTGTTTTTCTTTCTTCTCTTTAGACTTAATTATTACAAGTATTCTCTGCGTTACTTCTTCATTAATTGCTTACTGATTTTCACATTTCTCATTTCCAGATTGGCTCAACAGCACCAATTTCAGCTGCCTTTGTCGCGGTGATGAGATTTTATGTCGCTTCCAGCAGCTAACGGCAATGCCCGCCAATCTGCCCGCCACGGAGCTGGCAATGCTGTGAGTATACTTCACCTATATAAATATACACCTATTCATACATACATATACGCTTACATGCATAAATACATACAATACATCTTTACTCACGCGCGTATGCTTGTGACACTGTTAATGCGGGATGAGCATCACAAATTGCCTATCATGCGCATAATGTCACTTGCCACTAACGAAAAAATACTCTACTAACGTCGAATAATTAAGTTTTTCTTTATTAAATAACTTTTGAAACTTTTGATTCCTGTCACTGCGCAGCCAGGCAATGCTCGCTCGTGTGAAATATCGCTTGTCACAATTTTATGAGTTTTTTTTCCTTTTTTGTGCTGAAGCATATTAAATTTTTTAGCGGTATTCTCTTTGTTGTAGCACACTTTTATTGATATAAAAATTAATTAACACATTGACTGTCATATTAAATTGCCTTTATCAATTAATATTTACTAAGGAAATATTTATACTTCCTGTTGCAGGGATTTAACTGGAAATAATTTCCCAAACATTGACGAACACTTTATTGCACAGCTGCCAGTGGTTGAGAGCCTGTAAGTATGAAATAAATTATTCAAACTATGTTATTCGCAGTAGAAAATTAACAGTTATTACAAAACTATTATTGCGGACAGAATTTGAAAAGTTCTCATTATTTGTAAAATATTTATGAAGTAGTATATAAATTTAACAAAAAAAAATATAGATATTTGTAAAATTTTTTT